TGTTGAGTCTCCATTTGAGGGCTGATGGATGACCCAGGCTCTGCTCTGTCTCTATCTCTGCCAGCTCCATTTCCTCTTCCCCTTCGGAGCTCTCAGATTGCCTTGTTGCTGGCCCTGACTCCCCCGCTGATTTGGCTGCCAAGGGGGCTGGCCACAACACTTGTAGATACCCAGGCCCCAAGCCATAGAGAACCTTATAGGTTAAGTCAACCCTTAGAATTGCACATGGAAACCTTGTTGGTTAGTGGGGTAGGGCCAAAAACACAAATGTAGTATGACTGGGACAGTGTTCGCATACCAACATGTGGATTGCTGCATTTAGGGCCAATTGTAGATCTTCCTAGGCAGCCCCATGTAGTCTGTTTTACAGTAGTCCAGTTAGGAGGTAACAAGGGCATGAGGCACTACCCTAGTTACCTCTATCTATACTTGATCAGTAATGCTTAACATCTTAAATGTTATATTTTTATACATTAACATTTGTGAATAGATAATATAGTTTTGCAGGAAGATCTGTCAGAGCAATCCTTTGTATGACTCTTTTTTGAGTTTAAAATGTATGGGGGGGGGCTCTCACTCATGCATATGAAGGACAGAAAACTCCTGTAAACTCCAACTTTATTTATCTTTAAGGCATTGTATAACTATTGTTAATTGCAAATCTGAAAAGAGAAATTCCTGCTTTGGAATTAAGTCGATGTCCACATGATGGCAGCAAAGCCTTGAATATTGGTCATACCATCACTATGAAAGGCTTACTACAGGTTAGTTTTCTTCCTTCTGCTGAGAGTTTCCCAGATGTTGCTGTTAAGTTAAGATGTTGCAATAGTATCAGATATTTGCTGATGGATCTAACACCTGAGAGTAGCAGTTTCATGAAGGAGAATTACTCTATTTTTCCAGCAGTGAAACTGAAATATTTCAAAATGATGCGTGTACTCTACTGTAGCAGTAAGAATGATATGTCTCCATGCTTCAAAATTTGCACATTAAAAAAAGCTGAATTCTATTTCTAATGAAGAAATTAAGAAAATTGAAATAGATTCCATTTTTTTTCATGTAAGTAAGTAGACAGCTGACTAGTACAGTGACCATATTTACTTTATTATAAAGGATAGTCCTTTATTTCGGAAAGCTGTCCTTTAGATTTATGTCATTTCATTATTCATTTTGAATTTTCCCTTGTAAAGCAAAGTTATAAACAATTACTTTTTTAATAACCCTTTTGAACATCTTTCAGATTTGCCCCTTTTTCAAGTTTGTCATTTATTTTTTCCAAAAAAAGTTGCTCTACTTATTAGCAACTGCCCTGTTTAGGAAGAATTTGTTTCCACAAATAAAAATGTTCAAATATTGACACTCAGGACTTCAGAAGGGAGGGCAAAAGAATTATGGAATGGCTGCTTAATTGAACTCCTGCTTCTTTCTTACACATAAAAGGGCTGGGGCTTATCGTGGCTGCCATCTTCACTTTCCATCTTTTGTTTTTACAGATATCTTTATTATATTTCATTAACAAACATTAAATTAAAAACTAACATAAAGGAGAAAAGGGAGGGGGGAATAACAGGACAGATTAAAAAGTGATAACAAAAATCAAACAATTATAAAACAAAAGTGACCTCCAATTTTTTTCAGTACAAAGATAATAATATAACAACCTCCCTCTAATTTAAATGAATATTCAATATTTAAACTATCTTAAAACACTTTAATAACCCAATATTCATATTCTAACCCTCACAATATTTCTCTAGTCAGATCAGATTTAATTCTGAAATCCCAAAATCAAAAGTTGATTTCTCTCTTTATCTTGTAAGAAAGCTAACAGTGATCTCCAAATCGTAAAATTCACATTATTTAGGGCTTCTCTCCCTTCTTCTCTATCCTTGATTTACATACAGTACTGACTTCAACTACTGTATGCTTAGTGGGAACTAAGTATATCTTAGTATACTGGAGGGAATTAGATTGGGGAGGATGCTTTAAATAAGCACCAAATATATCGGAAAAGTAGATTTTGCCATATGAATATGTATGGAAATATTTTCTGTGATTTTCTCCTGGTACGAGAGAAGGTCTTCAGCTACAGTTTGGTTTCTTATTTATTTAATTCAGTTTGCTTCCTGTCTTTACTGCAGTTTAATAATGAAGATGGCTAACAACACAAATCTGCATAAATATAAGTAGTATAAGAAATGCATCTTAATTGCTCTTCTAGAAGTGGAGGAAGCACTTATATTATATTAAGCAGAGGGTTCAACCTGGCTGCTTTAAAGAAATCCTGCTAAGATTTTTACAATGTAAACCCCATGGGTTTTCTATAATATAATAGGTATAATGATTTTAGAAAGGTATAATAATAGATGAAGGTGACTGCATAATTCACCCAGTGTTATTTGGGTTGTAAAAACCTACACAACTGTCAGTGAATGCCAAGATAGAGTCACTTTGCTGCCATTTTGGATTTTGTGATCCAGATTTAATACTGTAGCCTTAAAGGAACTTTATAACTCTGAAGGATTTTTTTTTCGATGTGCTTTGCAAAGTATTCAGGGTTGCTCGCTACTATAGAACAGATTTTTTTGGAACAAATTCCCTGTCATCCACATTTCTGAATAAGTGAGATTAAAATTTGGCCTGTACGGGAAGATCATCCAGAAGACTCAGGCTCAATAAACCACCAAAGTTTTATGGTCTGTTAGCAAAAATAGTTAAAGTTGACTCCTTTTAGTTTTAATGGCATTGGTTGCCATTGTCCTCCTGGGAGATGTCTTCTTGACCTCCCAGCCTAACCTGCAGCTTTAGTATCACTTAATTGAATCCCATTCCAGGACTAACCAGACTTTATCTTGCTTAGCTTTTGAGCCCAGAAATGAATCAACTTTATGCTGCTGACTTGCCAAACAAAACTAACATTCATAACTCAGGTGCTGCTACCTGTTGAGACGTAACGTAACAGAACAGAATATCAGAGTTGGAAGGGACTTTGGAGATCTTCTAGTCCAATCCCTTGATCAAACAGGAGACCCTATACCAGCAATGGTGATCCTTTTTGGCACCGAATGCCAAAAAGGTCACGTGGAAACATTGTGCTCGCACTTGCTTGTCACAACCACACTCCAGAAAAGCCAAACTTCGGGTTCATGCATGCCTGATGATCAGCTGGCCGGCGTGCATACACATACCAGTTTTTGGCACTGTTGCAAGCGCAAAGGACAGCTGATTGTTGTGCACGCATGCATGCCCACCTGGCTTAGGACAGCCCCCGACCTCCTCTCCTTCCGCCGCAAACTGAAGACGTGGCTCTTTCATCAATTGGACTGACCGTCTACGGGCTTTTACATTGTAATAATTTTAATTCATTTTAACTGGATTTTAATTTACATTTAAATTTAAATTGTTGAATTTTATTCTTTGTAAGCCTCCCTGAGTCCTTCGGGAGAAGGGCGGCATATAAATTGCATAAAATAATAATAAAATAATAATAAATGCCAGAAACCCAGAAGACAAACAGGCATGGCTGAATGTGCCAGCAACATGGCTTCGTGTGACACTTTGGGCACGCATGCTTTAGGTTCGGCATCACGGCCCTATACTATACTATTCAGACAAATGGCTGTCCAATCTCTTCATTAAAAACCTCCAGTGATGAAGCACCCACAACTTCTGAAGGCAAGCTGTTCCACTGATTAAGTGTTCTAACTGTCAGGGTCTTGCTCCTCAGTTCTAGGTTAAATCTCTCTTTGATAAGTTTCCATCCATTGCTTCTTGTCCTGCCTTCAGATACTTTGGAGAATAAGTTGACCCAATCTTCTTCCTTAGATATTGGGAGAATACTATCATGTTCTTTTCTTCATTAAACTAAATATACCCAGTTCCTGCAACCATTCTTCTGCAACCATAAGTTTTACTTTCCAGTCATCAAATAATTTTTGTTGCATTTCTTCACTCTTTCTAGAGTCTTAATATCTTTTTTTGTATTTTAGTGACCAAACCCGGATTCAGTATTGCAAGTGTGGTTCATATAATCTTGATTCTATTCCTATCCAGCCTAGGACTGTGTTGGCTTTTTTGGTGGTTGCAGCACACTGATGGCTCATATTTAAGTGGTCATCTACAAGAACTCCTAGATCCCTCTTGCAGTTTCTGCTATTGACCCAGGTACCACCTATTTTATACCTGTGCATTTGGTTTTTCTTGCCTAAGTGTAAAAACCATACTTTCCCCACCATTGAATTTCATGTTATTTATCTTGGTATCTAGGTATAAATGAAATTCCCTTCCGTTTACCTTTACCCTCTGATTGGGTTTAGATAAGTATGGTTCTTATATGACAGTAACTATATATATCTAACAGTAGATATCTAGATATATATCTAGATATATATTTAAGAGTAACTTTAGATATATGAAGAGGTATTGTATCTACAGTTTCTGTTATTTTAGATACAAAATGAAATATTAGATAAATAAAATATCCTATTAGTGCCATAAACCAGCATAGCAGAGAATGCCTGAAAATCCAGACATAGTTGAGAGATTTTATTTTCAAAGCACTCTGGCATAGACCAAGAAATCAAATGGAAAATGAAAAAAAGAAAAGAAATAAGGAAGATAATATTCAGCATAAATATATGTCAAAATCAAATTCGTTTATTCTTTTGGCCAGTATGCACACTTCCTTGTTGAATGATATTAAATATATACAAGTAGATTTTCCTACTAGAAATTTATCTATTTATACCTCACCTTTATTATTTTTATAAATAACTCAGAGTGGCAATGTTACTAATACACCTTCCTCCTCCTATTTTCCCCACAACAACAATCCTGTGAAGTGGATTAGTCTGAGAGAGAATGACTGGCCCAAATTTACCCAGCTATTTTTCATGCCCAAGGCAGGACTAGAACTCACAATCTCCTGGGGAATGTACCACTCCTTGTCCTTTTAAATTTTTTCAGTGGCCTTCCATACAATTAATCATGATATCTTTCTGGATTGATTAGGATAGTAGGAGGAATTGTGAACTTCGTATTGCGGGGCTCCATCTCTTTCTGAGGAGGCAATCCCAGTTAGTAGTTGGAAAGAGGTTGGTTGGAAACAGCTGGTAGGAAGCAGTTGGTAGGCTGTTGGTTGGAAGCAGTTGGAACAGTTAGAATCAGTTGGTTGGAAGCAGTTGGAAACAGAAACGGTTGGAAGCAGTTGGTTATTAGTGAGATGTCAGACTTCATCTTTCTCTTTTCTGCTGCTCAGCATCTACATGACACCTCTGATTCAAGGCAAGGTATTGTTTGATCCCAGAAGACTATAAAGAACTCGATGAGAAGGAACAAATTGTGTACAAAAAGCTATATTTCTGCAAAGTGCAGTTGTTATTTCTCCAGAAACTATCTGGCTCTGTAGGGCTTTCATGACTCTGGATGTAGGGACAGTCCCTCAGTAGGAATAAGCCCATGAGTTCCTGTCCGATTTCAACTTGTATTCCAGTTGTGGCCCATCCTGGAGTGGGAGGCTCTGGTAACAATACCTTACACGAGGGGTGGGTTCTAATTTTTTTTACTACCGGTTCTGTGGGCGTGGCTTATTTTATGGGCATGGTTTGATGGTCATGTGACAAACAATTCTTTAGGATTTAGCAGAGGTACTGGTCTACCAGGCTTTTAACTTCTTGCAGAGCCGTACCGGTCTACCCATTTGTTTTTGGAGCATTCCAGTCTATCCATTTGTTTTTGGAGCACACCAGTCTACCTATTAGTTTTTGGAGCACACTGGTCTACCACCATGCTGCCTTTTGCCACTGATCAGCTGTAGGGCAGCCCTTTGAAGCGCCGCGGCAAGAGTTTAAACAATTTGTTGCCGCTCTGCCACCATCGAGAGCATCAGAAACCGCTTTCAGGCAGCTTGGCCTCAATTGCCAATCTACAACCACTGAGCGGTTTACAAGGAGCAGATCGGTTCTAGCCGATCACTTGGGAGGCTTCTTGGCTTCTCAATTTAAAGCTAAGGTGTCTTGCTTTTTTCCCCTCTTCTCTGTCAAGTGAGCCCTGATTTTTTCCTTCTAGCCGATCAGCTGGGACTCGGGAGGCAGCGTATAGATTGGGGGCGGGGCCAGGCAGAGGTGGTATTTACCGGTTCGCCGAACTACTCAAAATTTCCACTACTGGTTCGCAAGAACTGGGGAGAACCGGTAGCAACCCACCACTGCCTTACACCCGTGATGGCTAACCTATGGCACACATGCCAGAGGTGGCACGCAGCGCCCTGTCTGTGGGCATGCGAGTCCTCATCCCAGTTCAGCTCTGCTATGCATGCACACATGCCTCCTGCCGGCCAGCTGTTCTTCGTGTCTCTGCTTCGCGGGGGGCAGGGCGCATGCAGAGGGCGCACACAGCCACATGCATTGCAATTTTAGGGGTTGGAGTGCGCATGCTTACGCTTTGGGCACTTGGTCCAGAAAAGGTTACCATCACTGCCTTAAACCCTATTCACTTATAGGATGTTGTACTGCACTGCACTCTGCTTGATATTTTCTTTAAAGGCTCTCTGAAAATTACAATTGATGTTAAAAAAAGCAATCTGTTTGCTGATGACTTGAAGCCCTTGCAGCCACATAACACTAATTCTTTAGGTATTGCACTGGCTACTAGTAGGCTTTTGAGTACAATCCAAAGTAACTTGTACATGTTTTGTGACATGTTGCCTGAATGCTTCTATCTACTTCAAATAGAACAGATCCTTCTGGTGTATTTGACTCAAATATGGATGTTGGAAGTTTCCCTCTTTCTGCGATGTTCAAAACAAGGGTGCTTTTTTATTATTTTTCCGTCCCTGAAATCTCAAAGGCACTCTTCCTGATGGCATTTAGAAAGGCAGTTAAGGCAGTGGTGAAATGTAAAATTTGTTACTTCCGGTTCTGTGGGCGTGGCTTGGTGGGGTGTGTGTAATGTGACTGGGTGGGCATGGCCAACTTTTTTTTTTAACTTTTAAAACCATTTTTTCTACAACCTCTTCGGCTGTAGAGGTTGTAAAAAAATGCTTTTAAAAGCCTCTGCTGATCAGGCAACTCAGCTGGAATCATCAGAGGCTTTTAAAAGCATTTTTTCTACAACCTCTTCGGACAAAGAGGTTGTAGAAAAAATGCTTTTAAAAGCCTCTGATGATCCCAGCTGAGCCGCACGATCATCAGAGGCTTTTTAAAAACTTTTTAAAAGCATTTTTTCGGCCGAAGAGGTTGTAGAAAAAATGCTTTTAAAAATAATTTAAAAAAGCCTCTGATGATTGCGTAGCTCAGCTGGGCATGGGGAAGGGCAGGGACTTTTGCTATCGGTTCTCTGAACCACCCAGCTCCATCACTACTGGATCGGGTGATCCGGTCTAAACCAGGAGCATTTCACCCCTGAGTTAAGGCAGAGCTGTTTCACAGAGCTTTTAATCTATAGCTTTAACCCTAAAGTTGCTGCTAATCAGGGGACACAGCAGGTAGACAGTTTATGGATTTTACAATATGTAACAGCCTTTATGATTTTGATCAGATATATTGTAAGTGACTGATAGTCTTTTGAGGAGCCTGGCGGCAAATAAATGCCACAAACAAAAAGCAAACTGGTTTTCTGTGGCCTCTAAATCAACTAAAATGGATTGTACAACATGTTCATTTATAATTGATCTTTTTTATGTTGGTTTCAAGAGCATCCCTAGCAGAAATAAATCATTTCACTTGAAAGCTGTCTCTTGATGAAAGCATTTCATCAGCATTAAGTGCATGAGTTGTTTTTCCTTATCATTTTCTTTTTAGCCACATACTGTAATTTATATTTAGGAATTTTTGTTTTGCTACCAGTTCGTTTATGTCAAGGCTTTCTTGAATTTCTTTCAATAAGTGAATAAAATATAAAAACTTGAGCATATATCAAGGACTATCTCTAAATTGTGCAGGGCCTTGCTAGTTTAATGAAATTTATCTAACTGTTCTAGAAATAAACACTAATTCCATGATTTTATCCTGAAAAATTCCAGTCTATCTCTTTGTATCTATTAACATTGGTATGTTGAAGAACATCAATACCTGAACCATACTTCTCTGATGTGATTGAAGTTAAGTTTGCATGCACTCTTTTTTTTAGTTTACTGTAGAATTTAGTCCCAAAAATACTTGAACATTTTATAGAGGCAGAAAATAATGTTTTTGTTTCTGTTTCTCTCTCTCTCTCTCTGTATTGCACAATAGATCTACTTTCTACTTTTACTTTATTGATTAGCTCTTGGGCCATATCAAAGTTCAGGGTTCCAGACACAAATTATTACTAAAATCTGATAAAGGCAATTTAAAATGGAATTGGATAAAATACAATTTAAAATGAAATTTGAATAAAATACAGTTTGAAATGATAGCTTTGATTAGCCTATAGGCCATATCAAAGCACAAGGTGCAAACATATATTGCCAATAAAATCTTATACAAACAATTTAAAATAAGAGTAAGGTAAAATACAATAGTTATAGGATAAGATATAATATAATTTAATACATAAATATACAAAATAGAATAAAATGACATAAAATTATATTTTGGTGTCACCCTTTCAATCTACCCTAATCAGTCCTACATATGCAGATCTCAACCAAACCATTTTGTTTCAGTACTGTGCTGAGTTAAATGTTATTTTCAGGTTCTGGCTGCACATAAAGTAAGTTGTTTTGATATGGGGATCCAAATGGGTCATTCATTTGGTATATGGACCAAGGTACCTGTCTCTCACCCCCTTATACACGCAACAGTCAAATAGGGTGTGAGCCAGGTCTTCTACCTCTGCCGCTCTGCAGATGCAGAGATGCTCATTGTAGGGTATAGAATGGAATCTCCCAGCTTGACCATTGTGTCAAGCTGCTCAAATCTCGCTCGCGTAAATATCTCTCTAAGATATTTTGGCAGTTGTAACTTCAAATCAATGGTGGGATGCTACAGGTTCGCCCCGGATCAGGCGAACCGGTAGCGGTGGTGGCTGGAGGCTCCGCCCACCCTCCCGGATATCTTTGCGTATGCGCAGAAGCGTTGCGCATGCACGCAACCGCAAGCGTGCCCACGAGCGAACCGGTAGTGGCCAAAATTTAAACCCACTACTGCTTCAAATAGCTGTCTGCTATCATTTTGTGCTTCTATATCCTTAATTCTTTGGGCAGCTCTTTTTTTGAATTGTTCTCCTGTTATGCAAGAGACAAGAAGGCCACAGCTTCTTACAAAATATGTTAGTTTGGTGATCCAGGAGATTTGTGATTGTAATTTTATTTGCTCTAGTAGACATAACTTGGGGAATCTATCAGTCTCCATTTCATTGACTTTGCACCAGTAATTATATGCTCTAATTTTGGATAGTGCATGAATTGTATGAATTCCCAGTTCAGCTCTAACTGCTGCAGCAGATGTTCTTGGATCTACACCCAAAATACGTCTACAATGCTGGGACTGTGGTTGTTCTGGAACTGTGGTTGAATATAGACTCCAAATCTCTGCTCCATACAAGAGCATAGGGGTAACCTTAGCTTTGTATACTCTAATTAATGGGGCTAGGGACCCTGGGTAACTACGGTTCTTTAGTTTAAGCAGTAAATTCAAATGGGTGTTTGCTCTGAGTGTACTCCATTGATGATGGCAAGCCCAAGATCCAGTCTTGGAAAAGCTTACACCTAAATATACAAAGGTGTTAACCTGTTCAATTGGTTCACCGTCTAATTGCCACCTATGTCTCTGATGCTGTTTTCCAAACACCATTATCTTTGATTTAGATTTACTAATGATTATTAGTAAATAATCATTATTATTTACTAGCAAAATAACATTTTTCTGTGCCTAGGCAGCAATCTACTACAGTGTGGCTAAATAATTTTTTTTTTTTTTTAATTTGATTTATATGCCGCCCTTCTCCGGAGACTCAGGGCGGCTTACAGTGCGTTAAGCAATAGCCTTCATACTTTTGTATATTTATACAAAGTCAGCTTATTGCCCCCACAAACTGGGTCCTCATTTAACCTACCTTAGAAAGGATGGAAGGCTGAGTCAACCTTGAGCCTTGGAGAGATTCGAACCAGCAGTAAATTGCAGGCAGCTGTGTTAATAACAGGGTGCTTTAAACCACTGTAGTACCAAGGCTCTAATTTAATGAATATCCAGCACATGATGTGTGATTCAGTGGTGGGTTGACCCCGGTTCGGACCGGTTTTCAAGAATCGGTAGGAAAACTGGTGGGAGGCCCCACCCACCACCCCAGATGTCGTCATTAGCGATCT